TTTTTTTTTTGCATCAAAGTAACGAGATCGTAGACCCGACGGCAGAGGTCCAGCCTAGTCGTCGTTGACCTCGATTGGGATACTAGTCGTGAATGTTGGGGTCTCTAGCTCTTCGTGCTTCTTCATTTTCATGCTCTGCAATGAAATATAATGGATTGATAAATAAAAAAGAAGAAAAAAAGAAGAAACCCTTTTTTTAAAGTTTCTTTGAAATATATCACACCTGCTGTAACTTATAATGATTAATAATATCCTGGTCTGCCGGGCAACTTTGTAAGAAGGCATCCAGCCTATACATGTGGTGCATATATCGCCAGAGATGCACTAAAGTTTCTGGAATCTCAAAGTCCGCGAAATATTTGCCGGCCACCCTGATGTGTTGGAGTCGTGGCATAAGTTCGCAGTCGAAACAACACATTGTGTCGCCTGTGAGGAAACGAGTACCCTTACGACCTAGATGCTCGTCGATTTTGCGCAAGTGTGCCATCAGAGACGAGGACTTCGGGTCTTTGTCCTTATCTTTTGCGTTTAGTAGTAACAGTTTCAATTTCTAGAACAAAATAAATAAACGTATTCGTTTAGCGGCGAGTCTTAACGTTGGACGAGAAAGTGGCAGTAGTTTCTCGGCAAAGCGGTTCATACATACACTGAACAAGTTTTCAACAAGAGTAGCCACTTCTTTGTCCTGCACGAAGAGATTGTGTCCACCAGGAATGTTCTTCATTATGTGTCGTTCGATCTTCTCGTTCTCTAATATCGCGTCGCCGTTGTCGATTAAGATCGGCGGAGGTGTTGCCTGAAAGTTGGTGCGGAAATCAGGCGGTGGCTTTTGCATGTCGACCGTGGTCACTTTTAGAGAAATTGTCTTCAATTCAGCGAGAAGATACAAGTCCATGAAGTACTCCTGGCAGAAGAGGCAAGCACCCTTTCGGCGACCATCGATCGTCGATGCCTGCAAAAATATATTCGCACTGTTAATTTTTATCGCGCGTTACGAATATTCACTTTCGCTACCACCTAGGCTTTCTATGCCTTAAAAATAAAACATCCAAGTGTCATCCATCAGTCGAAAGAAGCGAATGATGCAAACACGAAACGATATATGCTTTCTCCAATTGACTGAGCAAATCATTCAGAAAATCTAGCGTACTTGCTTCGCTCTCATTTTCTCGATGTCACGGTTTATTTATTCCCCTCGATGACGCACCCTGCTTTCTTTCTTACCAGAACATATTCTTCTTTAAGCTTTAGTTCGCATATATAACTACGAAAAGAAATGTGCTTTGTTTTATAAACTTGTTGAAGAGTGAAAAACCCGTATTTCAGTTACATACCTATCATAACTCTCACGATGAATCATAAATAACAGCAATTCATCTATGTAACTACAGAATTTCTTTTCTCGTTTCTACATACATTTATCTTAATCATTAAAAAAAGAAAAGGAATCATTCAGTATCGATATAATTTGTGTAAATTAACACTAAACGTACCGGCATTTTACATATACCTATCTTACGATAAGGGATCA